TCAAAGTTGTATTGGGACGACTTGGAGTATCGTGGTATATCGCTTCCAAGGGTTTTCGAAGGTGGGTAGCTCATTTCTGCCGTAACTTATTGTATACGGGCCAGAGCCAAGGTCCAAATCGAAAGTCGAAGGTAAAACTTGCATGAATTATTCGATGCTACTGTAACTATGCGTTGAGGAGTAGAGACAATAAACAAGAAAAACTTCGCGTGTTCTTATCGCGATTCCCAAAAAGTTGATGAAATGCCAATATATTGACTTTGATTTTAAGTAAGACCCTGCTGTCTGGGAAGCAATGTGAGCCGAAAGACAGCTGTACCCACGCATCTGGGTGCAGGCTAAAATACGTAAAACCGCAAAAAAACGCGATGAAATTACGTTTAAGTAGCTGATTGATGGCCTCTTGGGATCGAGTGAGATCGCTTACGTTCAGTGGGGATGACTGATCTACATCCTGCCGACGCTCAATACCATGTGCCTTGTAACAATCATTTGTGTGCTGTTTCTGTGCACCACCCCTCTATCAAGGCGCCTGCCCACATCCTCCCGGTCGGGTGCTCTCGGGCTGACTCCAAATAGTCTCTCAGCTCCTTGTGTGACTTGTTGCCATTAACTACAAAATCCACAGCACCACGACGCTCATGAGGCGGCAGCCCGTGGGGCGTTGATTCATGTCTTCCCGTCTGCCAAGCTGGTGATGCCGCCACCAAACGCTGCCCTCGTCATTGTGTCCACGAAAGATCCCCTCATCAGTGTTCTACTCAGGCCAGATACTCATGGGAGTGTGCATCATGCCCGCATGAGTGCAGTATGAGGTAGATAGGTATGCAGTTAGCTACAAATGGAGGGTCGGCTGTGAAATAAGCGTGCCGCATCCCGAGAACACTGAGAGCCCTTTCGAGACACACAAGCGTAGACAGAAGGGTGTCTGGCTGTGGCAGCGAGTCGGTCATCGGCCCGGACACCACCGATCACTTAGGTTTTAGGGTGGAGCCTGCCACCAGTCGGCCTTGCTGTGCGCTGAATCACGTCCTCTTGGTTGGCTTTTCAGTCTTGTGAGCTTCCGACAGTCATGCCGCGTTTCACTGCTGACTGAACCTGACGGCAGTGGACTGAAGCCATGGCTCTTCAGCGGACAGGGCTTTTGTCGGAAGCTGAGGTGCGTTCAGATTGGAAGGCCCCCTTGTAGGTGCTGCAGCTGCATAACCTGGTGGTTGAGTCGCAGAGGAGGCACCTTGCCATCCCCGTGCTGCTGCAGAGGCTGTACTTAAAGGCGCAAATACCTACCAAGAGCTGAGAGACTACCTGAAGACAACTAAATAGAACAGAACTATGTGAGTGAAATGCCTCTTCAAGTCTTCACTGCTTGCGCCCATGCTCCCCGTGTAGGGCGGAGTGATGTCTTCCTCCTTCAGCAGCCCTGTCTCGAGGCAATGCTGCCGTGTTTTTCCGTGGCAGATCACCACAATTGTGCTCGCTTACTGAGCTGACATGTGAGACAGAGGAAGTACTTCCCCAGCGTGCCAAGGAGCAGCTACTGGCGGGCGCGAACGCCTGGCGACACTGACGAGATCGCAGTAACAGCGGATCAGATGTTGGTTGACCTCGGTCAGCTGCTGTACCACGTCATCCATCCAGTTCCTGAGACCGCAAAAGAGCTGGCTGAAATTTCGGAGACTCGACTGGCCCACTGCACTCC